TCGATTTATAAACGAGCCGAATACAAACAACTCTTTGTTCGCCTGTATTCCGCTCGTTTTAACTCGAAATTAAATAAAAAAATTATATAATTATTTATATAATAATATATTATATATATTCATATCTATGTTTAAATTGTAATTGCTCTTGTGGTAATATGGTAATGTGGTTATGCTATTCTTTTTGTATATATTTGACCCAGGTTCGAATCCCACACTTTACATTTATTTTTCTCAATTTAAGTTTAATGAGCCAATTTCGAGCCGAACGCGAGCCCAAATACAAATATTTTAATCGAGCCGAGCACGAACACACTGTTCACGAGCCGATTTCGAACACGAACGATTTCGAACACGAGCTATTTTGAACGAGCTGAACACGAGCCGAGACTGAGCTCGCTCAAGCTCAACTCGTTTACAACCCTACGCCCAAATGTCCCAAAATATCACATGATTCAAAACTTCCATAAATTTTGACCTGAGAACTTGTGCATGTTCATTCAAATTTAGATTGCATCAGTTCCACAAAAGTGTGCTCATGATTCAAAACTTCTAGCCCATGTGGTTCCAAATTTTGGCCTCTTCGGCCTAAGGATGTCATCACAATTTACGACTACGATCTACGTGGCTTGCGACTCTCGCAGCTTATTGTCACAGCCTCTATGGCTAACTGACGCTCCTAAAGCCATAATTTATAGGTCTGCATAGCTAACTACTGCCACGACATTCTACTACCACCTCCACTATAAGCTGACGCTACTGCCACCGTCTACAATACTTATGATGGGTTACTGTCTTCACAACAATCAACTATAGTTTAGTGACCCATTATAGCTTCTATTGCATAAATACTATTTTACAGTTATAATGATCAACTCTGTAATTTCATAGTCCTTAAACTACTGGCATTGATCTTCTTACACACATTAGGTATAATTCATGTTTCAAAAATTAAAATAGTGATACTTTTCATGTGATATGAAAGATTTTATTATAAAGATAAAAAAAAAAAGTTATTAGATATATAAATATATGAATTTGGGTGGTATGTAGGTAAATGGCCTTTTCAATTTTTTTGGGGTTCTTACACACCAAGGTCCCCAAACTATAATATTTACATATCGCCATCCTAAAACTCAATTTTTTCGGGTTAAGGTCTCTGTACGCCATCTTCTGTCTTTTTTAGATTACTATGCTTTCCTCTTCATTCTTCATCCTCTGGCCATCTTTCTTCCACTGATACGACATTCTCATTCGTTCTCATTCGTGGGAGTTCATTCCAATTCTCTCCCGCGCAATCTTATTTTGAAACCTTCTCTTTCTATTGTATGAGATTCAACATCTTCTCACAGTCTTCGTCTGACACCATTGTGTTCGCCCCAGTGCAATCGTTGCACTCGGAAGAAACTGAAGACGTATCCAATCCCAGGTCCGAGTGGATGCTGACCTAAGCACTCTATGGAAGGTTTTGACCGACTACGATGGCCTCGCTAATATTATTCCAAGCTTAGTTGTCTCTTTCTTTAGTGCCTCTTGTTAAACAACCTTCCACTGCAACGCTTGGTGTTGACCTCTTTCTCCAGTGCCCGGTGCCCAACTCCCTCTGTAGCGCCTCTTGCCGAACAACCTTCCTCTTCAGCGCTTGGTGTCGAGCAATCGCTCTCTTCCACGCTTTATGACCAGCCTCCTTCTTTTCCCTCTTTGTCGCTCCCCTATCTTCTTCTCTCCTTCTTCCACCTTTCTTCTTGTTGTGAAGAATCTAATTGTTAATTGACATGGAATAAAGAAATTGCAGCAGCTGTCTCGCACTTTTATTCTAATCTAACCCTTCCGCGCCATTTTCTTTAATCTCTTTGGAACAACAGAAAGGCTATTTTATTTATTTTATTTTATTTTATTAAGCCGAGTAACCTTGTACTCTTTTAATTCTATATATAGCATATGACCTCCAACACCGAAGTAACAAGTAAACCAATGGAGGTCACATATCTGTTCTACTTCGTAACACTCCTCACGATCACCCTCCCCTTCATCCTCTTTGGCCGCCGGCGGAGTCACCTGAAACTACCTCGCACCATCCCTGATGTCCTCCCCATCATTGGTCACCTTCACCTCATCGTCCGCTGGCCCTCTCAACCCCTCCACCGCACCCTCGCCGAACTCTCCTCCACCTACGGCCCAATCCTCCACCTCCGCTTTGGCTCCCGCCCCGTGCTCATCATCTCATCCCCCTCAGCTGTCGAAGAATGTCTTACCACCAACGACAAAATCTTCGCCAATCGCCCATCACTTCTTTCTACCAAGTACCTTGCTTTCAACAACTCCATGATCGCGGCCGCCCCCTACGGCCCCCACTGGCGCAACCTCCGTCGAATCGCTACCACTGAACTACTCTCCACCTCCCGCATCGTCTCCTTAGCTCTAATCCGTGCCGACGAAACTCAATCCCTCCTCCACTCCCTATTCTCCGCCGCAGCCATCGCCGACAACAAATGGAGTCGCGCCGAGATGAAGTCAAGATTAAAGAGGCTGAATTTTAACTCTATCATGAGAATGGTGGATGGTGAGGAGAATAACGAGGATAGCTTTTGGAGGATGATAGAGGAGGCGTTTAGACTGACTAGTTTCTCGAGCGTGGAGGATTTTCTTCCTTGGACTAGTTGGTTTAGTTTGGGGGGCATCAAGAGGAGAATGATGAGATTGGAGAAGGAGATGGATGAGAGGTTTCAGCGTATGGTGGATGAGAGGAGGAGGAGAAGGGTGGTGGTGAAGGAGGAGGTGGAGAAGAAGACTTTAATTGATGTGATGCTTGATTTACAGCAAGAGGAACCAGAGAGATACTCAGATCTAATCATCAAGGGGATGCTATGGGTAAATAATTTATTTAATCTTTTCATTTCATGTATAATATACAAATGAACATGGTACCTTAAAAACAGGAAAATTTTAGCTGAGATTATTCTAATTTGTTCTGAAATAAATATAATAAATTAAAATTTATTAGTTATATGATATATTTATTTCAAAATAAATGTGATAATTATAAAATCTATTGATATTAAATTTTATCATTTTGAGTTAGGGTATTACTTAAATTTTTAAATTCATCAAATTAGAATATATTAGAATTTTCACTAAGAACAAAGAAAAAGTACACTTTTGGTGTATTTTGTGTGCCGGTTAAATATTTTTAATTTTGAATATTTAACTTTTAAATTTCAGAATTTTTTTAACATGAACTAAATCTTATTCATGATATAATAAGTAGGGTGTAAAAAACTCATCCAAAAATTTTATGTTAGAGTTTACCGAAATATTTTTCGAGTCGGGTTCGGGCTTGGGAACTCGACACCTAAATATTTTAGGTCGGATTCAAGTTGAACCTGAAAATCCGAACCTGACACGAATAAACACTAAGAAATTGATTGTACTTTTAACTCTTTTATCATTGCTTGTTATATATAAATATCAGTCTTTTTTTAATCTGCGTATTGTCACTTCTTCAATGGTTGAAGTATAATTTTTAATAAAAGATTGAGCTGGTAGGTTAAATGGGTCGGGTTCAGATTAATCGTGCCTGGGTCGAGTTCAGTTCAGGCTGAGTTTATGGATCCATTTATTATTCGAATCAGGTCATTTTTAGTTCGGGTCAGAACCCAACACACTGACCCGAAATTGACACCCCTAATAATAAGCTTTCTTACAGGTTCACTATTCATATATATATATATATATTCATACATAATTGTTGAATTATATATATATGCATATATATATGCAAACTTATGGATTCATTAATTTGTTTTCAATGAAATAGATTTTATTTAAGATAATTGTAATTTGCTTAGTCGGTGTGATTAAGGGCATAGTATGTAAGGTGGGTAAAAAATTGTACATCATTATTATAATTCTATATCAGGGGCAAAGATGAAAATTTTCAAATAATTTATCAGTTTTCCTTTTTGAAAATGTAATATATAATTTCATGCTTAAGATTATGACACCTAGGTGCTACAAGTACAAATATCAATTAAACTTTGAGTGTTGGATATGTTTGTAAATAGAGAAGAAATGTGAGATATGTTTGTAAATTTCTGTTTTATGTTTGTAAATAGAGAAGAAATGTGAGATATGTTTGTAAATTTCGGTTTTAAGTTTTTGTCTTGCAAACATAAATTGTACTTATTAACCATATCAATCATTTTGAACAGGCTTTAATTGCAGCTGGAACAGACACTACATCCGTGACCGTGGAATGGGCGCTCTCTCTTCTCCTAAACCATCCCAAAGCCCTAAAAAAGGCCCGAGATGAGATAGATTTTCACGTAGGACACGACCGTTTGATCACAGATTTAGATCTCCCTCATCTTCCCTACCTTCAAAACATAATCAAAGAAACTCTCAGACTATATCCAGCGGGTCCACTCTTACTCCCACACCATTCATCCGCAAACTGCACTGTAGAAGGTTACCACATTGCAAGCGGCACGATGCTGCTAATAAATGTTTATGCGATTCAGAGAGATCCGAAGCTGTGGAAAGAGGCGGAGAGTTTCAGGCCTGAGAGGTTCGATGAAGGAGAAGGAGCAGAAGGTTTTAAGTTCTTTCCCTTTGGTTCGGGAAGAAGAAGGTGCCCGGGAGAAGGGATGGCGAACCGAGTGTTGGGCTTGACGCTTGGAGCTCTGGTTCAGTGTTTTGAGTGGGAGAGAGTTGGAGAAGAAATGATTGATTTGAGTGAAGGGGAGGGGGCTACGCTTTCAAAGTTGGTTCCTTTGGAGGTGAAGTATAAGCCTCGTGAAGCTATGGCGAATGTTCTATCGCAGCTTTGATCAGCTGTCAACTCTTATGGTTAACTCCTTTGGTGTTGAACAAATAATTAAATGTTTTGTTATGTTTGGATCTTAGACTACTTTTATTTAAAGAAGAAAGATATCCATATTTTTATAATCATTGCAGAAAGAAACTTGTTAGGTTAAGAACTGCACAAACTATTGAAATTTCATTCTATCATTCATTTGAACATCTCATGATCTGAGTTATACCAACAGATGTTCCTCCTACATAATCCAAAGACAAGATATTTGGCTTCGCTTCCTTTTTTGAAGTGGTTTAAGGACATTTTTTTCTTAAATAATATAGTTGTCCTTAAATAAAATTTCAGAACTCATTTATAAAACAATTAAAACATGAATATATATTTATTATTCATGGATTCTTGATTTCAAAAATTGCTGCGACTATAGTTTAAGAAAAGTTCATGTAAAATATATACATTTTAATATGAATGTTTAAAGCACATTACAATGGGGAAATTTTTGACGTCATTAAGAAAATTCTACTGATCAAGCATGAATTTTGATGCATCTTCAGACCAGAGGCTTTAATAAACAAAATAAGCCCAAATAATAGAGCATTTGACATATAGTTAAAAATCTCATCACATCAGTAGAAGACTAAATGATCTTTAAATCGGGCAAGCTTACCATATAATTTAGCATCTCAATCAGACAAAAGTAAAGAGTAAAAACTGTCAAATTATGACATTATTAAGTCCCTGGAATACTCCAAAAAGATAATGTGATCAAGAGGATCACTTTGGATCATCCGTTGATACATAGAGTGGTCTGATTTCAAGCTATAATTATGAAGAATGTCACTTAAAATCTATAAATAGACATCTACTCTCTTCATAAACGGGAAAAATGGACTTTGAGAAGAATGTCGTGAGGGAGCTCCAAGTTCGTGAGGATTCCCAAGCTTCATCATCACCTAACTGCCATCATCGTTGTCTCGTCGTCGTCTGGTTCCCACCACTACCACCAACCTGCTTTCACTCGATTCTTCTCGTGGTCAGTGTCACCAAATCGTCACTGCGAGACCACCATTGTTTGAAGGCAGTCGTTACAATCTGATCACAATCACCTGGCCGCCATAGTAAATTGTCACTACTGAATCATTATTGTCATACCATCGTCATCTGGTCACGACTATAGTTATTGTTTTCAAATTGTTACACTTAAATATTTATAAAGAATTTACTCAGAATTTATAAATAAATTTCTACTCTAATCATAAATGGGAAACTTGAAATCTGATTAGAATGACTCGAGGAAACTCCAAGCTTTTGAGGAATTCCGAGCTTCATCATCAACCAAATGCAATCATAGTTTTTGTGTCGCCGTCTTCTTGCCATTGCCACTACCACCAGACCGCTTTTGCTCGATTGTTCTCGTTGTCATTGTCACCAAACCACCAAATTCGCACTACCTTTGTTCAGTGGCCACCGCTACCACCAGCCAACAATCTCCTGACCGCCGCGATGATTATCACTATTAAATCGCTTTTCTCAAACCATTGTCATATGATTACCACAGTTGTTATTGTCGTCAGATTATTACTACTTAAAAAAATTATGAAGAATGTCACTCAAATACTATAAATAGACTTCTATCCTCTTCATAAATCGAGGGAGAGAATTCAAGGAGCTTTCAAGGAGATTTTTGAAGGGGCTTCTTCTTCTTCTTCCTTCAAGAGAAGCCTAGGCAAGCCCTTTTCTTCCATTTTCCTCAACTTTTCTTCCACTTTTCTGATCATCTTCCTCATCTTCATTGACTTCCAGCAGGATGACTAGAAGAGCTTCTTCACCACTTCGAAGAAGGAGAAATGTCAGCTTAAATGTAGATTACATCAGTTCTACAAAAATAAATCTAAATAATTATTTATATATAGTGTCCCGGAAGATTCATGATGATAGAATAATAATTAAACATTTCAGTGTTGTGTGAAATTCAGGACATACGCTGATAATAAAAGAAATAGAAGAAGGCATCATGAATTCTTACATGAAAAATCATAGAGGGCAAAAAAAAAAAACACGAGGCCTAAACTAGCTAAAATGAGAATATAAGTTTGTAAGTACAAAAATAAACTCTTATCCCACAACCAAAAAGATGCTACAAGTTTTCTTCAAGTGCAATGTCCCTATACAAAAAAGTTTGTTGTAAAACCAACAAATGCAATTGCGGTTAGAAATTATTATCGGGTCTTTGATACACCGTATTTGGGGCATGCCCGTATGCAAGAGACCTGGTCACTCCATAGAGTTTTTAGTTACCATACAATCTATGTTGTTGCTTTGCAAGGTACGTTGTTACTTCGTAATGTGTTTTGTTACTCTATAATGTATGTTGTTACTCTAAACTATACGCTACTACTCATATTTTCTTTCATTTTTCTCTCCTTTATTTTTGAAGGAGTTGTCAGTTTGTCGATCGTCGTATACTTTCCTTCTTCAAATAAACCTCTCGTCGGGGTCATAGGAATGGCCTAAAGAAAAAAAGGAACCATAAAAGACGAAATACAACAAAGCGACAACTAGGAGAAAAATCAATATGTAAAGAGCCAACGTGTTGTAAACCTTGCAACGATATACCAAGTATGTCCGCCTAAACAAGATCAGACGGAGACACCTTAGACCAATATCTAGGAAGGAATATCTACGTAGGCCACCCCTAGCCAGAGTTTCAAGTGTATGTGTTTGTTTTGGGGTCATTAATGCTCCCAAGGGGACGTATCCCACTTGGTAATTACATCTTGGAGATTGCCTGTTGACCTCACTTTTGGTTGAGGTCTAGA